ATAGTGATGCCCTTTGGACTAACCAACGCGCCAGCTACTTTTCAACGTTGTATGAATGACCTGTTTAGACCGTGGTTAGACAAATTTGTAGTAGTTTATCTTGATGATATTCTAGTTTTTAGTAAGACCTTCCAGGAGCACCAGGGTCATCTGAGGCARGTCTTGGAGAAGCTTAGAGAGGCTAACTTCAAGATCAACGCGAAGAAGTGCGAGTGGGCCAAGACGCAAGTCTTATACTTGGGCCACGTGTTGGACGGAGATGGCATAAAGCCAGAGGACAGCAAGATCGCGACGATCAGAGATCGTCCGACGCCCCGCACATTGACCGAGTTGCGGTCGTTCCTAGGCTTAGCTAACTACTACAGGAAGTTCGTGAGGAACTTCTCCACTATCGTCGCTCCCTTGCGCAGGTTGTTGAAGAAAGAGACGATCTGGCAATGGGATAAAGACTGTACGTCTGCGCTCAAGAAGTTAAAGCGCGCGTTAATAGAGTATCATGTCCTCAAGGTTGCAGACCCGTCCTTGCCATTTGTCGTCACCACGGACGCAAGTCAGTATGGGATAGGCGCCGTGTTGCAGTAAGACGACGACAATGGCTATAGACCCGTAGAGTTCATGTCCGCGAGGATGCCTTGTGAGAAAGTCGCTACCTCCAGGTAAGAAAGAGAACTCTACGCCCTCAGGCAGGCTTTAGACCATTGGAAGCACTACCAGCTTGGGAGACACTTCAAAGTCTACTCGGTTGTAAAGTATGCCATCGAAACAAATCTACTACACGCGCGCCCCTAATTCTTCTCAGACCCTTGCCTATTCCGGATCATCCGGGACACTCAGTGTCCATAGACTTCATGGACACCCAAGTCAAGAGTAGACATGGTAAGAGCCGAGTTATGGTCATAGTTGACCGTTTTAGCAAATATGCAGTTTTCGTTCCTTTGCCTGCAGAGGCACGTACAGACTTAGTAATACAGAAGTTCTTTGAGTTTTGGGTTAGTGAGAATGGAATCCCATTGTCAATAGTTAGTGATAGAGATAGTCGTTTCACCAGCCAGAACTGGCAAGATTTCATGAGAGTCTACGGATCTAAGTTGTTAATGTCGTCTGGCCGTCTCCCAGAGACTAACGGTCAGACAGAACAGATGAACAAGATCCTACAGCAAGTTCTGCGCATGTATATTAGACCAGATCAGATCAACTGGGATGAGATGTTGCCCAAGGTCGCTAGTGCGTACAACAACAGCGTGCATCTATCCACCTGCCGCACTCCCAACGAGTTGCACAAGTCCTTTAGACCACGCAGACCGTTCGAAGGACTGAACCGGGATCAGATTCACAGATTACCGCCCGGTAC